ATTTCCTATTTCATTTTTTGTCTTGCTTACGAATTTCACTTACTATTCGTTTCATTTTATTTACTCGAAATTTGTCAAACTAATTTTGCAGTTAACCGATTAAAGAATATTTCGTATTAAGCATTTGAAATTTGAACGAATCGAAAAGTCTCGTAAATCAGGATTGAAAGGGTCAAAGGCGGAAAGTAAAAAAGAAAGGAAGAGAGCGATAGAGAGCGATAGAGAGCGATAGAGAGCGATAGAGAGAATATAGCGATAGCAAGAAGTACGTTGCGCTCGTTTATTACTTCGGCTTTCAGTTTAGACACGGTTCGCTTTATTTCGTAACCCCAAGCGATCGTAAATGCGAGTGAGAGCTCACTCGCGGATGCGGGCCTTGGGACGATTTAAGGGTTTTAAGCTCATCGATCTCTCCTCTTGCGCGTCAGACTTGGAAAATTCTCTCTTCTCTGTACGAGATTGAGGCTGCCTGCCAGCCACCACGACGAATCCTTCCTACCTACCCTTCCTAGCGCTTAAGGATAAACCGTTGCTTTTTTAATTAAAGTGCATTAGAGAAAGTCGACGAAACGGTGACAAAAGACAGGATTAAATGGCTCTTAGCTTTTGTCCACTTAAGCATACGTTTGACTATCGAGAGAGAGAGAGAGAGAGAGAGAAAGAGAGAAGTATTATACTTTTTAAGGATTAAAAGATACAGAATCAAATTATTATATGTCTAGTATATTATGCTATCATTTGTATTACGTTAAAACGACACTTTTTTTTTTTAAACAAATCGATTCAATCAATTCAAATATGTATTTCAATTATATTTATTCACGAATCAAAATCGATTGAATAAAAATATGTCAAACGAGTGATAAAGAATAAATAAATAATGACAATATTGTTATTTTTCCAGAGATCAAATAAATAAAAATAAATATTTGGTTGGAAGTTAGGTAGAAAGTTGACGCGTATGGGGAGCAAATGATCGTCGTTATCCATGAGGGATGACAAGCAATATTAAGAAAAGCCACTGATATTCATTTGAAACATAGAAACAGCTATGGTCTCGACTGTTAATTTCGTCCTTTGTCTTCAACAAGGGATTGCTGCATGAGTTGCTCTTTTGAGACATGGTCCAGGTCGAACTAGAGTTGGACCGGTTCTACTCGGCGACACATTATTGCTCCCTTTCTCTCTCTCTCTCTCTCTCTCTCTCTCGTCCTCTCTTTCTTTCCCTATATGTTTCTCACTCTCTCTTCCATTCACGAAACACAATGAAATTGTCCGTTTGCAGTTCTAAATTGCAATTGCTTGGCATACTCGAGAGAATCGTGGGAAAATTTATCGAAACGATTGCCGAGATTGAATTTAATTTTCTCTACGTTTTCGCGATGATCGCTTTTAATTCTATAAATTAACAAATAAGAAAAAAAAAGTAGACTAGAGTAAAGTAAAATATAATATAATAGAAAAGAAACGAAATCAATCTAAACAACTAGCACAAAACAATCATTTAAGCTCGTCTCATAGTTTGCTCACGAAAGCCTTTCAACTTAGCAGAATTGTGCTTTTTTTTGTGTTCTTTTTCTACAAGACTTCAACGTGGTGTTGTACTTTACAGGCACAAAGACAGAAACATAGATATACGCGCACGCACATGAGGGCAGGACGAAAGTAATGGTTGCTCGAATTGGTTGTCCTCACGCGACGTTGAATCCTGATGGACTAATTCCGGAAATGGAACCGCGATTACGCGAGCACAGCCACATAATAACGCGAGCGGCGCGTTTGCGAAATCGAGCGTGACCTCCTCCACCTCTCTATTTTAGACTCCCGTGACTCTCTGTCAAGTTCCCTCTCAACCCTTCTCTACCTCGTTTACACTATTCCCATTCCCTTTATTTATCCCTATTCTCTCTTTCTTTCTTTTTTTTTTCTCCTCAGGTTTTGTTCGAATTAAGTAGAGAACGAACGGGACAGACATAAAATCGATAATCGTTTCCAACAAAAACACTTATTATTATTATTATTATTATTATTATTATTATTATTATTCCAAGAATTACCAATATTGAAAAAAAAAACTATTGGCCAGAATGTGCACAATAATTTATCGTAAAAAATAAATCATAATCCAGTTCAGTTTTATTCCAAAGGTACACATTTCATTCTTATTTCTTACAAACATCCTGTTTTTTTTATTTTTATCTCTGAATGTACGTAAACTATTTAAAAAACCTTTAGCTAATAGTGCAGGTATATACGTTTAACCTTAGTCTCGGATTTGATTGTTCTCTCGAGAAATAAAATAGAAATGATTTGTCGACTTTCCATTTTACCACGAGCGAACGAGAAAGGGTGATCTTATCGTAGACTCACGCACGACAGGCATCGCGAATGGCAAGTTTTACGGGCTAGTCCGTGGTTTTACCTTTATTTTCTCTCTCTCTCTCTCTCTCTCTCCCTCTAATTCCCTTTCTCCCTTTCTCGGTACTTTTGAAAGTCACGTAACGGAAGAGAATTCGCATTTTTTTCTTCCTTCTTCCTTCCTTTCTTGCTTCGCGTCGGATTACGTATGCCGACTCTTTTTTTCTTTCTCCCTTCGTTATCGCCTTTCATAAGCAAGGAAGTCGAGAGAATGCGTGGACGATGGTAGATGGAAGAAAAAGTAGGGGGGAAAAAAAGAAAGAATGGGTTGAGCTACGTTAACAAAAAAAAAAAAAAGAAAAAAATGTCGAAATGAACGCTTAAAGATAACGCGTTCTCGTACGTACAACTAATGAAAGAAATGATCCCGAACGAAATGACTTTTTTCTTCTTCTTCTTCTTCTTCTTCTTTTAATCCCTTCTCCCTCCTTCTACTACTTCATTCACAGGATACTTTTTCTTTCTTTATCATTTGCTACTTTTATTACAGAGCACTTTAAATTACAGCCTTTCCATCGACCATAAAACTCCGTTGCAAACGACTACCGTCTGTGAGTCTATTTCTTCTCTCTCTTTTCCTCTTTCTCTCGCAAAATATCTATCTTTTTTTTCTTTCTTTCTTTCTTTCTTTCTTTCTTTCTTTTTGTCTTATTTTTTTCTCATCGAAGTCGATACAATACCTTAGGATAAAGAAAAGAAAAGTTAGTATAAACTTCCGAGCTATCCATTAAGCTATATCGTTAATACTTCTCGAGGTATATCGTTGAATACTTGACAAGAAAGTCGACCATTATTAGCCACTTCGATCGATCAAAAAATACAAAAGAAAGAAATAAAAAGAAAAAAAAATAGGACCGAAGGGTTTGCGAAACTATTCTCAAAGTTCAAATTCCTCTGCTTCGATGAATCTGCTGAATCGAATGCGTGCACAATGTAGAATTTGATTTTGTGGTTTAAGGGATGATAGTCGATCGACCAATTAACTTGTATCGATAAAAGACCGAGTAGTAAATCTCCTCTTTTTTTATTTTTTCTTTCTCTATGAGAAAAAAAAAACAAGTCGATTTTAACGAAGCTTGCTTTGGGATTCGTCCAATTTGACCTATTCCTCTGTATCTCTCTCACTCTCTTTCTTGCTTTTAGAAAATTCTCGTTGGTTATATCCGATGATGCAGCACACGAAGAATATCTCTCACGGCTTCTCTCTAGCGAATTTCAAATCGCCGGGTTTTAAGAGAGAAAGAGAGAGAAATACATTTCGCGAATACGAGTTTAAAAAGAAATAAGTCCGTTTTGTTGGCGTACTACCCTGTAAAGGAAGAAGAAGAAGAAGAAGAAGAAGAAGAAGAAGTAATAGAAGGGAGAAAAGAAAGCCTCTGACGCGTCTCTGTCAAAGGCTAAGTCTTCTTCGTCTCTCGTGTCAGTGCATTTGTTTGCATCTATCCTATGTATATGAGTACCTATGTGTGAATGTTAGTGGCCAGGGTGAAGGGAAAGAAAAAAAAGAGAGGGAGAGTCTGATATGAATACCAAGAAGTGTAAAGGTAGGAGTGTAAAGGAGGGGAAGCATGGCACACGACCGCGAAATGGTTCAAAGAAACGTTGGAGTCACGAGTAAGCACAGTTGTCAGCGTCGTGCGCTTCGACAAAGGAGGAAATGACGGGGAAGGAAAAGAGTCGTTAGGTAGTAGGAGACTCCTCTGCTGGTGCTGCTGCTACTCCTGCTACTACTGCGTTGCTGCTACCTTTTAATGCCAAAAGAGACGAGAGGAAAGGAGAACAGAACGACTATGCAAGCATTCTTTATCTCTATCTTTCTTTTTATCTTTTTACTCGTTCTATCTTTCTCCCTCTTCACGCGAACCAAGCCGTTTCTTCTATCTCAACGGTGGTAGGACGTGGCTCGATTTTTCCCTTGAGCGACGGTCTGCGCGTGCATTCTTTTTTCCATGCTGCTGCTGCTGCTGCTACTGCTACTGCTACTGCTACTCCTTTCTCGTAGAGTCATTCTATGTCAAATTTGTTTTTTTTCCCTCTTTCTTATTTCCCGAAATACAATTAACTGTAACTCTAGTATATCTACCTTTATCCGATCATTTTTATCATCGATACATTTTTCATTTTCTTTTGGTTAATCGAGTGTACTTAATCTATAGTATTACTAATCTAGATAAATTCGAAGAAAAAAAAAGAGAAGAGAAAAAAGATCGTACCACAGTCATATTTCTACGTTACTTTAGTGACTATCTTAACTGAGGGGGTATGTGATAGAAAGAGAATGAAAGAAAAGATAGAACGATGATACCTATCTCGTTTGCTTCGGCAAACAAAAGATCGCCCCTTCTTCGTGCGTGTGCATAATCGTGTTCTTTCGCTTATCTGTACTCCAACTATTTATCTACCTACTTAGCATATGAAAAACAAGAAGGAAAAAGGAATAAGAGGAATAAAAACAGTAGAGGAAGGATGAAGAGAGAATGGAGCACGATGATGTAAGAAATTACGAGTAGAATGGAGATATGTATATATATATATATATACATACATAGGGATAGATAGATAGACAGACCCGGTGCACTTACCTCTTTGGGGTATTAGCGGCCAGGGATGTAACGGGCTGCCGGCAACCAGCCAGACACATGCCAGCAACACTCGGAACATTTTCACCCCCATCCACTTCGGACAGACAGAAACTTCTCTGCGTTCAAGTCCCTTTCCCTCGTGGCCACCCTCGTATACTCCGCCCTTTCCTCCTCCTTCAACCCTTTTCACGAGCGTTGTCTCCCACCGCTGTTCTGTTCTTCTTCTAACGCGCTGTAACAGAGTTTCGCTTCTCTTCTTATCTTTCCTTCTCCTATCTACAGGAACAAGCTCCCTTTCAGAAGGTTTCTCGTAACCGCCCACTTTCTCCTTCTCTTTCTTCGCCACCTTCGTCGTCGTCGTCGTCGTCGTCGTCGTAGTCGTAGTAGTAGTTGTCGTTGTTTGAACGAAGAAGTAACCACTACTATTGCTGCCACTGCTGCTGCTGCTGCTGCTGCTGCTGCTATTACTATTTCAGGAGGCATACACGACGCGAACGCGTTGAGATCGCGGCGATCCGACGACCATACACGAACCACCGACTACTACTCGGCAAGCGGTAAAGCTGATTGTCCGATTAGTCATACTGTGCTACTACGTATTTATTATTATATTTCAAACTAGTAATAATACTAAAGCTTCGATCTGTAGATATCATAGCTAACGGATATTAACTACTGCTAGCTATCCGATAAAAACACACCTTTCGGTAAATGGAAATTTCTTTCGATTCCACTTATTATTTATTAAATAAATATATTTTTCCGTAGAAACACCTTTTCTGTTGTTCTTTCTTGTTACGTATATTCTCATACGTCCTATCACTCCGAAAACACACTCGCTCGTCGTCTCTAATCACTTGAGGACTCTCTCGTATAATTGTCTGCAGGTACGATAATCGGTCCGAACAGACCCGGACGTTTACTGCTATCCCGAGGATCAGAGCTACTCACGAGTAGTAGCAGTAGTAGAGCAACAGCAGCAGCAGCAGCGGCAGCAACGTTTCCGGCGCGATGGCGATCACACATAGTTGAACACGCGTATATATATATATATTCTCTCTCTCTCTCTCTCTCTCTTCCTCTCTTACTCTCAACGTGCTATCCTCAGAGCATCGCCATTTCCGAGTCCTGTCACGGAAACGTCAGAACGCCATGACGTGGTTTTACGTGGCTCTCCGTGCTCGAATTTCTACGAGCTCTAGTCGCGGTTCCTATGTATTCCCTCCCCCCCTCCACCAGCCTCCTCGAGCCATCGTTTCTTTCGTCCACGGATTTTACCTTCGATCTTCGTGCTCATTGGTAATGGAGGAAGAGAGAGAGAGAGAGAATATTATTAGTAGTAGTAGTAACAATGACCACCACACAATTGACGATCTACGTCATTTGTGGCGCATTTTAACTCGAATTTTTAAAAAACGTGACATGTTTCCGTGAAATCAAACTTTTCTTCCTTATCGAAGTTTTCTTAGAAATCGTAATATTAGATATCTGGTTCGATTCCATCTATCGTCTCATAGTCGTCGTTGGTCAAGGAGAACGTATTCTCTCGTCGAAGGTAATCTCGTTCCTTGGGATCAGGAGCTACAACGACCACTATTACTCGCTGATCCCACGTTCCTGATTCATAGGTGCCCGTTAATTTCTCGTGGGATTCGCTTATTAAAGGCGAGACCTTATAGGTGTATATATATATATATATCTATATATTTTCTCGTTTCTCTGTCGTTGAATCTTCACAACGTATTCGGGCCAAGATAAAATTACGTTCGAATCAACGGACTTCTGTTGCCACTACCCAAAGAAATCATTCGCATGAAAGAAATTATTTGCCCTGGAGCTTCTTTTTTCCATCTGTATTATGAATTCTTCCTTTTTAAAAGGAACCAACACATCATCTTCTTTCCTTCCTTTCTTCCTCCCTCGCAGCAGTAGCAGCAACCCTTTTATTTGTTCACGATGCCCGCTGGTGTTTGGTGTGCTCTGTAGATAGAAATAGAGATAAAGATAGAAAAAGAAGAAAAAGACATACGAGAGAGAGAGAGAGAGAGAGAGAGAGAGAGAGAGAGAGGACAAATATTTCAACGAGAACAAAACGCGTGTCTCGTACGCGACGGATTGAAATGCGTGCCGGACGAGAACGTAATCGTCAACGTGTCGAGCGAGCACTAACGAGTTCTTCTCGTCGAAAAAATATTCATCGTGTGAATTTACTTTCATTCGTTTCTTTTATTTTCTAATTTGATTAATGATAAATTAATTGAATCTAATTTGTTCGTTGATCTCAAATCGACGATCTAAATTTAACGTGGCTTAATTTAGGACTGTGATGGCAAAGTTTCGGTTAAATTTTAGATGAAGAAAGAAACTAACTTGAATAGAATAGAATAGAATAGGATAGATAGATAGATAGATAGATGGATTGGAAACGATTTTGACGTACACGTCCGTCATTCGCGTTTTCATCTTTTTTCAAATGTTTCCCAACGGTATAGGTACCCCTGACGCTTAGAATTACGTATGAGTCACGTATCGCGATGTGCCAGGATGCATTCGAGTTTTGCGCCCGATCGTTCCGGACCGATTGCGAGTGTCGAGAAAAAAAAAGGGTGAAAAAGGGACGAGAAAGAGCGATCGCACGACTGCAAAATCTACGATATGTGTGTTTTCTTAAAAAAGTCTACTTGACCTAAACGAAACATATCCGAGAAAAGGAAAATCGTTCGACCAAATGAAATATCTAACGAGATAATACGAATCGTGAGTAAAAGATAAAGCGATACAAGTTTAAACCCTTTCCCTTCTTTTTTTTATTTCCGCTATCGATTTCATAATAAATAAATAAAAATAAATAAAAAAAAAAAAGGAAAATGAAAGAAGGGAATACAAATTCGTATTGCGTATCTGCGATGAAAAAAAAAAAGGAACGTTTTTGGAATTCGTAATGGTCGCATGATTTTACATGCAAGCACGTAAACGACGGAGACGACTAATTCTTTGTATAATTTTATTTTCTTGTACGTGTTAAACGTTGAAAAATATTTGCGATTGGTCGATTTGTGTCAGAGAGAGAGAGAGAGAGAGAGAGAGGGAAAGAGGGAAAGAGTTTTATTTATCATGCTAGCGTTGTTCGTGAGCATCGTCCCACGAGCTAATTAATATCTCCGTTATGCAAATTAGGCACAGCAACGTTGGCTCTCGTTGTATAACAAAAGCCCTCTTTCCGATAATTCTCCATCGAATAACGATATCAACGTACACGACCAACCAACAATCCTCTTCTCCTCCCCGCAGAACCGTTCTAACCGTCGTCCGTTAAACGACGCGAGCCCGTAATCTACGAACACCGATTACGTATAACCTTCTCGTATCTCTCGGGTCTCCAATTAATACGAACCCTGCTTACTCGCCTGTATTCATTTTTATTAATTAGGAATTTTCGTTGGATGACGTTCGTTATCTCCATTATTTCGACCTTTTAATGCATGTTTTACGCGCCCTATGTAGTAAATATCAACATGGATTATGCATCGAGACTATGTAATTTTATTTTTTGATTTGGTTTGTAAAAAAAAAAAAAAGAAAATAAAGTTAAAAGTAGAATAAAGAAAGAATTTGAAAAAGCTGTCAAAAACACGTGTAAAACACGCGAACGATTACAGGGTAAAATCATCGTTCGTTTATCTTCGATGTTATACTCGTCTCCATTAAAAGACCGTGCCGACATTGGGCCTCTCTCTCTCTCTCTCTCTCTCTTTTACTCTTTTGGTTTGAACGTTGGACGCTTTTATTGATCGCCCATGCAAATTTGGCAATTTCATCGTTACTCTACCATTCGTTTATTACAAGCTACACATAGTCAAGCGACTGCATCATAACAGACACCTTTTCGATTGTACCTTCGCGAAAATGTTCATTCGTTAAACGCAAATTTACATTTCTTCGTGATACTTAATTTATACATCATCAAATATAATATCTTTCTTGTTGGAAATTTTAATAATTTTCTTTTTTACTTAATAAAAAAAAGTATCTCTAGTCTTCAATTTGAAAATTATCCGTGTTATATGCTTATCTTTCAGCAGAGAAAATTGTGAATTCGACTCGAAATACGATTATACGCCTCTTTAAATCTAACGAGGCTGACGAAGTCGCTTTATCGTTGAACGCTTCACTAGCATGATATTGATCGATATCCGAATTAATCAATTCGTTATTGTGTAGAAAATATATGTACGCGAATTTTCCTAGGATATACTTGGTGAAACGATTAGCGAATTTTTTTTGTTTTCCTTTTCGGAAAAAGATATCAAATTAAAAAAAAAAAAAATAAAGGGGAATGAGAAAAAATAAATAAATAAAATATCTACGGACAATTCTATACATGCTTGTAAAAATCAATGATTTTTTTTTCTAACGAGAACTGAAATAAAAATTAAAAAAAAAAAAAAGAGAGAGAGAGAAAAAAAAGAAAAATATAAAATATGTATGGACGATTTCAATCGTTCGTAAAACCAATGATCCCTTTTTTATACAGGAAAAAAAAAACAAAAAGAAAGTAAAATATCTATGGGCAATGATTTGATTTCTTGTTTTCTTTTTTTTTTTTTTTGGCAACAAAAAAGTTGTTACAATGGAAGAAATTAAACGAAACCTTTAAATAATACTATAGTTCATTTTAAAGGATCAAATGGGACCGATGAAATTGCATGTAACGAGTTAAACTCTCTTTTTCTCTCTCTCTCTCTCTCTCTCTCTCTACCTCGGTAATAGTAGAACCGAAAAGCAAAGAGGAAAACACATAGTCCCCCGTTGTATTCGGCCATTGCAAAGCTCACTTCCGGCGAACGCGCATCGCGTATAAACGGCGACGTAATAAACCCTGCTGTTCGACCGTACGCCCCGTATTTGCTCCGTATTTGCACCGTTTTGCATCTGCCGAAAGAGATGGAGATAAATAGAAAGAGAACAAGACCGAGAGAGAAATAGCTAGGACAAAATTGCAGTCGCTTGCAGTAACGAAAATCCAACGGTGTCGAAAGCGTGCCACGCGAACCGCGCGCGTGCCTTCCTGCCCTACGGATTGCCCTTTTTTATTACTTTTTCCTTCTTTTGTTGTTTCAATCTTTATTCTACCTTTTTTTTTTTTGCCCTGAGATTACGGAAAAAAATAGTAAAAGATCCCACTTCGAATTTGTTCGCGTTCAAATTCGTACTTGAATCATTATTATTCAGAAATATGAAAGGGTTTTTGAGAGATATTTATAAAAAATATCTGTCAAAGAGAAATGATTAATAATAATATATTCTACAATATCAGAAACGTTGACTGAATCAGACAATGGAATATATTTGCATTGTTTATTTGTCTTTTTTAGTTTTTGCTCTATTTCGTTCGTTATCGAAAAAGGTATAACAAGGCAAATATAAAAGGTTTGAGAAGTTATTTGTAGAAGACATGCTCAAGAGAGATTCGGCCACCTGTAGGAAAAAGACATCGTTTCTGTGTTGTCGTGAAGCGAACCGGATGGAAAATAAACTCCTGAGAACCGAATTTATCTGTTTTATGTATGTCTCTCTACGTGTATGGATGTGTGTGTGTGTGTGTATGACTGTACACTTCGTAAGAGAACCGAACGAAGCTCAAAAAGAGTTCGTAGCAAGAATAGAAGAAAGAGAATAAGATTGTGAGGAAAGAGGCCACTAACGTTAGAGAAGATAGTGGTCTCGCGTATCGCCCACAACAAATTCAATTAGGGGAGAGAAGAGACCAGAATTTTGTATCGCCGTTTGAGATAGAACGAGCGTGGATTTTAAACGAATGTTGTCTGTTCGTACGTGACCGGTAGGCCGATTCGTTGCCACGATTTCAGACGACCAATTGCCTTGTCTTCTCTTTCTCTTACCATCTACGAGACCTAACGAATTTCGATTAGAAAACTTTCGGAAAAACTATCCAAGCAAATAATCTTTTTTTTAAAGGAGTTAACAACTTATAATATATCATTAGACAATATTCGATTGAGATTTTTGTAAATTCGGCGAGATGATAATCGAAATGAATTTGCGTCGTTCGTCGTAGAAGGGATATAACGTGGGCACTAATTCGATGATTCGATAACGATATCGTCGATAGCGCGCCGTTTACAAGGACGGTGGGTTTTAATGGGCCGACTCTACGTCCACCTGTTGGGCTCCACCACTCTCGAGCCGGCGCTTACGAAAGTCACGTCATCCGAGAAAATTTTGGACCTCTCTCTCTCTCTCTCTCTCTCTCCCTGTCGTTTATTCGCAAGCAATACTGAATAAACAAGAATAAAGTAGAAGAAAGGAAGGAAGGAAAGAAAGAAGATTGATCTTTAGAAAGAGCACGGGCTGTGGTATACATACAAATATATATTTACATTTTTCATCTTCAAATAGTTAGATAACAAAGTGGATGAAAATTTATTTGATATTTTTGAAAAGAACTTTCGCGATTTATCAGAAATATTTGATCGAAATATCGCATCTGCCACGATCTTATTATCTCATTGAAATATTTTTGATGAAGTCACTTGTATAAATTAACGCGATAGAATCTTCGCGTGTTACAATTTGACTAAAACGCAGAAAGCTTCTTTGTGTGCTTGGTGAATAGTATAACGCGGTAGACGACGATCGAAAACACGCGACAGGTTAAGCACGTGACTTTGAAGATGATCGACGAGGGAGAGAACCCTTTTTGCCGATAACAAAAATGAGAAACAGCTTTGAACGTGGTGGATGGAAGGGATTGGGGAAAGCCAATCTGACTTTACCTACAATTTCCTCTTGAATAAGATATTAACTTGAAACATCAAACCTCGTCGTGATTTTCTATCATGTGTTGACCTACTCTGTCTGTCTGTCTATCTCTCTTTCTGTCTTTCTCCCTCTTTATATACCTACAGTTGACGTATTCAGCTCAACTTTGGACGTCATTTTCAAAATGATCGATGAGAGTCTCTTTGGGTTGAACGAGTAGTCGACTTTCCGATGAAAAACATGTCGCAGATCGAAATTAGGAGAGCTAACGAGCGCACACGCGAGAGAGAAAAAGAAAACGTCAATATTCTCTCATCATACAATCTTCTTCAATTTTGTTTTGTTTAGTTTTGTGGTGCGTGCATACATACGTCAGAGTTTCTTTCGCAGATCACGCGAGATTATCGACCACGTTACTTTGCTACTTTTTTTCTCTACCCCTTTTTCTTCCTCCTATTTTTATTCTTACTTTCTTTTTACTTTTGCAAGCCGCGAGCCAACTCTCGTTATCCCAGGAATTATGGTGTGGCGAGTTATCGCGGACAATTTCCACGTCGTATCTCGTTTAGAACTCGCTCGATATTAAACGGGAACGCAAGGGAACGATTTATATCTCAAATAGCGAAATAGTTTCCCTCGTAAATGTAATCATTTTTGTTCGCAATTAGAAAAGATTAATATTAACGCAAAGTACAAATTTCCGATGGGCTTGAAAAAGGGCGGGAAACGTTACCAAATTTAATTTTCTTCCTATTTTTTGTCTTCCTTTTAAAAGATCAAACGATGTTCATCGCTCGTTACTACGATTTTTTCGATACCTTTTTGACAAACAAAACGCCATTGCTAACGAACTGGACAGCGACACGTACGCATTGTTTTTATTTAAAAAGAATACGAGACAATTTTTGTATCAAATTTTTCACAGTGATACTTACCAAAGTATTCACGAAAAATTCAGCTGTTAGAGCCTCTCGTTCTCTCGATTTTTCGAAAGAGAAACATCACCAAAGAATATACTCTTCTCACGTTCACAAAAGCCATTGGTATTTATTTTCTGTGTCTTTTATCAAATATTTCGACGAATCAAATACGAGAGAGAGAGAGAGAGAGAGAATGGAAAATAAGAGAACAAACTGTGATATCTGTCCATAAAAGTAAAAATAACTGTCTATTTATATTTGTCAATGTTTATTCCGTATTGTTTTGATAAAATAAAATAAATTGATGAAAGTAAAAGACGAGTGAAACAAAAAATATAATCGCGAAAACACCGAACGTCGAATTACGTCACGTGTAAAAAGGGTCGGTCAATGGGTTTATCGAAAGCGAAAAAAGGAAATGTTTTTTCGTACGGAGAGAAACAACACACACGTCTTTTCCCTCGAAGCGCGCACGGCGCACTGAGTCTCGCGAACAGTTTTATGCTTTGAAATGAAGCCGGAACTAGCGTGGTGGCGCTAGTGGCGCCTACCCCCGAGGTTACAAGAGGATAGGGGAGTGCCAGTGGTATGCAACAAACCCGACGAAGCGTCTCTCCTCGCACCCACCCATGCACTACCACTTCAACCCCTTTAGAGGGAAGCAAAAGAACGCCACCCATCATTGCTACCACTACTACCCCCTATCGGTTGCTTTTCCCAGCATGTGCTGATGCTAAGCACCAGACTTTCCTACCAAGTATAACGAAATACGTATATGAATTCCTTTGATCATTCACAATATATTTCCAAGATGCAGATCCAATTCCCTGTATGTGTGTAAATGAGCAAAAAAAAGAAAAACAAGAAAAACAAGAAAAACAAGAATTTTCTTTCTCCCAGATATTCTTTCTTCCGGATTTTTCTAGGAAATATTGATTGTTTGGTGAAAAAATAGTATGTTAATAGAGGAATATACTGATGGTTGTAGCATTTATCGATGACGAGTTATAAGAACGAAGCTGGATGAATAGAATTGAAATTTTTTTCATGTACATTTCGAAGTAAACGTTTGAAAAAAATTGTCATCTTTTTTACTAGCAAATTTTTTTTACGTTCAAATTGTATTATACGGTTTTTTTTTCGTCTACCTGTCTTTCACTGTCACTTATAACGAGTCCTTTTACCGTATCGTTTTCTCCTACGGGCATTAAAAAAGAACGGAGTAATAGGTTTGGTTTTTATTTTCTTTTTTTTTGTTTCATTTTTTTATATCTTCTTCTTACCGTTACGTCGATAAACGTGAGAAGATTGTTTCACGCGATCAACTTTTTTCCTATCTTTTGCGAAAAATACAAGTATCACGTACGCAATTGTAGATATAGATATATATATATATAGATACACGTTTTCTTCTAATATCCGGAGAAAAGCGCACGAAAGTGGCAATAAAATGATTTCGACTCTTATACAGAAACACAGAGGAAAATTTTTCATTTCGCGAAGTAGCGAGTACTCTCTCTTTCTCTTCGTCTCTCTCTCTCTCTCTCTCTCTCTCTCTCTTTCTAGTTCGGCGTACCCCTTTCGTCGATTTCGCGCACGTCGTCGATCTCGTTCGAAGTACGAACTGGAAGTACAATCAAATTTCGTTTCGGACGTTCTCGAGAGTGAGTGAGTGTTGGTAGAAGGAAGTTGGAGGAGCCGTGCTCGTTAACTGCGTTTTCCGTCAAATTTCCTCGAGGGTTCTCATTATTTGTCAATCATTTGTTCCTCTGACAACCCCAGCCAAAGATCTATATTTTCACAATTAAAAACCAACTGTTTAACTTTAATTAATAACTACGAATTATTGTTGAATTATTTGTTATGCAATAAAACAAAACAAAAATATTAAAATTAACGATCAACATAAAAAGCGTCGATTAGATCGAATAATTATGAATAAAAAATATATTGTTGTTAGTTAGTTGTATTTTCTCAACATTTTCCTTCGCATTATAACATAGTATAATGGAGGTACATCCCGTGAAATCTATTTAACGCCGTGACGCTCTCCTGGCTGCTTAATCGTTCCGTGAAATCAGATTTCTTGTGTTATGAATTTTTTCAAAAATATCCTCATCTCATTATTCTTTTTTTTTATATTATTATTATTTTATTCAAATACAAGGAACCACAAAATTTATACATAAGAGTAAGAAGTTCCTCCGAAATCTCAAGAAAGTTTTCTTGAATCGTGATCGATTCCACTTTTAATTAACTTCCTTATGTATACATTTATTTATCATTATTTTTATTTCAATTAACATCATCCACAAACTTTACAAGCAATGTAATCCACTGTTTTGTTGTTGATTATTAGTTTTGAATTTTTCAATAATTATTAAGTCGTGTTCTGGAAGCTTTACTATGTAATAAATTACAGAAACAAATATAATTTATTTGCCATGGACACAACACATTGACTAGACGATACTGACATACTGTCAGGATTACGATGTTCGATAAACTATTCGTACTTGACCAATCATTTTCTATACAAATATATACGCTCTTTGTGTACGAGTGTTTAACACTTCAACATTGTATTCATACGCCGTTCGGAATAAAAAGTTTAATAATAGCAAACGTTTTCAAGTAAAACTAGTATGTATAAATGTATGTATATGTGTGTGTGTGTGTGTGTGTGTGTGTGTGTGTGTGTGTGTGTGTGTGTGTGTGTGTATGTGCATGTAACTCGAAAGAGCACGACAAATATGTTGAGAATACATTGATAAAGGATCGAGGAATTTTTCATTTCGAAAGGCAAAGAAAAAAACAAAAAGAAATAAATAAAATATAATAAAAATATGAATAAGAAACAAAAATAATAATCGGAGAAAAATAAATAAGGAAATAAAAATAACTGGACGAGCTCTGCTACAGCGGAGTCGAATAAAAGTTTTGAAAGGAATTATTAATAACGTTGTCCATATTTTTGTTGTTTGAAAGTTCCAAACGAGATATATGTCTGCGAACAGAAAATGTTTTTTTTTTCTTTTTTTTTTTTTCCGTTCAACTCGATTAAACGTAATAAGTTACATTTTTTACTTACATATACGTACATATATGTATAAATATCTTCATGCATCTACAATGATATTAATTCGATAGAAGTTCATCAATTTAACATATGAATAGCTCATATATAAATGTATTTATATTTATTTAATTAAAAGTAATAATGTAATAAGCTTAATCAAGCAAATTTGTGCTGATCGATTTTGATCCATCGAATCGAGAATGAGAGAGAGAGAGAGAGAGAGAGAGAGAGAGAGTGAGAGATGGAGAGAGAGTGGGTATGCGGAATTAGGATGGGAATTTACGGTGAAGATGGTAATTCTCGATTTGCAGGTTCGGTGCAGTTAGGGAGAGAGAGAGAGAGAGTAGAACAGTCGATTTCCTGGACCAATAATTCACCAAGCCATGCTCTTGGAGCAAGCTTAAGCCTCCGCGAACGTATTCCATTGGTCGAACTTTCCAACGATATGTCACAATAAATGGAGTAACTTCTTCCTTTCTGTTCGCGAAGAAACTACTCTCTTCTCTCTGTCTCTCTCTCTCTCTCTCTCTCTCTCTATTTCTTTCTCTTTCTCTCTGACACGCAGACAGATATACTACATACATATATACACGTTCACTAGCATTATTCGTCTCTTATCTTCTCTAGCAGGGTAATAACGCGAGAAGAGAACGTCACGTGTCGTCTTCGCTAACGGCTTAAAGTAACTGGCTAACCTTAACTCCTTTCTTCCATTCTCTCTCTGCCCTTTTCTCGCAAACCCTTCTCCCTGCCCCCTGCCTCCTGCCCCACCCTTCTCCTTACGAATATTATTCCTCGCGGCTGGAACGATTAGTCACAGTCGAAAACTAACCGTTGAACTTCGACTTATCTTCGCTCGATGAGAATACGATTGTTTCTATCGGGAATTCTCGCTCAAGTTGGTAGGAGAGGGTTGAATTTGGTCCAGGGGGGGGGGCGGAGGGAGGAGAGAAAAAAAAGGAGAAGAAAAAAAAGGGAAGAAAAAGTTTTATGATGCATCGCTTGGGGAAAGTTGAATAAATCAAATAAAAAGAAAAAAAAAACGAAGAAGAAGAAGAAGAAGAAGAAGGAAAACAAAGTCTTTCGTTGGTTTTCTTTTTTTTGGTTCCCAAGGAAAATGAGGGTTTAAATAATCGTCTAAAAAAAAAAAAAAATTTATATCTGCAAATTATTCGACTTTCTTTAAACGTGGGACTATTTTACCTTAGAAAATGTTATCGAAATAATTGTACCATCATTTAAACGGATAAGAGAAATAAATGAAAACGAACAAAAATAGAATGTTAAGAAAGATACTTGATTAATTAATCGTTATGGGTGCGCGTTTAGAATATGCATGGAGAAGAAATAAAAAAAAAGAAAAAAGTTAAAAATATCTAGAACGCGATATAAAGCGTAGCTGTGAAAGCGCAATAACGAATCTCAAGCCGCGGCAAAATGTATACACAAAACAAATATCAAACCACTCAACCTCGAGACGAACTCGCACTGACTACGATGTTTCAGTCGTTTGTTGTTGTTTTGTTCATGGAACATGGAAACTCTCTCTCTGTTTCTAATTTTTTTGTCTGCTGAATCTTTTGTTAAAAAGTAAGCTTATCAGTGCATAGCTTGTTTTAATTGCTATATATTATCATTATTATTATTATTATTATTATTATTATTATTATTATTATTATTATTATTATTATTATAAAATAAATATATAAATATGCACGAATTAATGCATAAATAATATACACGTATAATAAATTAATACTAATAAGTATAAATATAAATTAACTTTGATTAGAAATATAAATTATATATTCATGTAAACAGGTGTGTATATATATATATATATACAAATTATATAAATTACAGAATATTATAGAAGAGGATCACCCCGTACGATGTAACTTTGGCAATCAATAATTCGAACTTATGATAGTTACAATTTCAAACTAATCTTAATTTATCGAATCAAGACAATTAATATATATATAGGTATGTGTGTCTTTCTTACTTCAAAGAAAAAAAAGGAAAGATACACGTGAACGCACGCGGATAAAAAAAAAAGGGAAGACGTGTGGAGACGTATAAAAGAAGTTTCTATCTGGTAGACTAGCAAAGGAAATAGTTTACAAACCCTTTGGAAAGTTCGTGTCACGACGGTGATTGCACGTAAAGAAGAAACTCCTAGACGAAGAATGTATGTAAGTACCTATACACGTATATCTGTATATTTATATATATATATATATACACGTGTACACGTATGTATGTATAAGTATATCTCGAAAGCCACGTTCGTTTCCTTTTCTATTCGGAACACTTTCTCGATAGAATGGAGACTAGTATAAGTGTTGTATATAACTTGAAGGTATATCCAGACGAAGTTGCACATGTATGTATGTGTATTGCCCGGAGACGAGCGTCCGTCCTCGAAGGATGAAAATTAATTTCCGTCGGCGTCGTTGTCGTCGTGCTCGTCGGAGCTTTCCTATTCGCATTCTTAACCATCTTTCCGCTCGAAAGCAATTC